TATACATATATATATATATATATTTATTGTGTGTATTTATATACTTATATTTATAGATGTATATAGTATATACACACTATATATATAAATGTATGTATATGTAAACGTACATACATATATGTTTATAAGTGTATGTATATGTGTACAAAAAAAAATATATATATAGATTTTTTACTGTAAAACCTGAAGAACAAATACCTCTTGCAATACTTCATTATACCACCAGGTATCTCCACACTTGTAAAATGTTGCACAGTGATTAAAAAAATAAGATGTTTAAAAATGTCATTAAATATTAACGATGTACAGTCAGGACGTCCATAGCAGGGTTTCATATATTTTGGCTGCATCACTAATCGCCACATCCATCACTAACGTTACATGAAGCCTCGCAGTATATCCATCCGCCGCTGGGCGGCGCGGATGTTCTTGTATGTAAACATAGTGACGGCAGCGTTTTGCAGTGGTGGAGAAGAACGTGTACGTCATTTTCACAATGGCGGAGGCAGGGTGAGGAGGAGAGAGAGTGTATATGTGTGTGTGTGAGTGTGAGTGAAGCGGTGCCGTAATCGTTTTACAGCTACATTGCCCGTTAATTCCTGCGCACGGTGTGCCTCGGTAAAATGGCCCTGAACCCCAACGGGAGAAGGGACGCAGAATGTACCGAGACGGACTATCTCCAGCCGGAGGAGGGTGGTGGCGAGCACCCGAAGAATTCAGCCGCCACCTCGGCCACAGTCAACCAACAAAATGGCGATCAGCCTGGATGTGGAGACGGCGTAATGCCCGAACAAGAAGCCCCCGAACGGCGGAGGAGCTCGCAGGCGAGACCCGGCGAAGAGCAGCCGCGGAGGAATTTCCAAATCCCGAGGAAGATAAAAGGTGGTGCTGCTATTTTGAAAACACAGCCTGTCCGTCTTTTTCTTAATTCTGCTGCATGTTGCTAGCCCCTGCTAACGTCAACCGTTACGCTAACTAGCGTTACCTGCTGGTCACGCTGGTTTAACGACTTTTAACTGAAATTGTGATTAAACCAACGGTCCTATTATTTAAACAAGAGGGGGGAAGATAGCCGTTGACAAATGTAGCGCGAGTGGTATTAAGCAGACACAGCTTCTGGTTGTCCCCAAAGTCCAGAGAGAGACAGGCAGCACTGTCCATTCTGTCCATTTATTTTAAATATACAAAGCCCACCATCACCTTTTCCACAGGACCAGAGTCTGATGCAGCTGGTGTCATGGAGTGTGTTTTTGCAACCGTCACCTGACAACATGTGGGGGTGTCTCACTGACCTCAGTGAAGGGCGTGAAATGATCCACCTCCACCTGTCTTCTGTGGATGTTCTCACAGAACCAGGACACCAAGGGCTGCCCACTCCTCGTCCCACTGCAGCATCCCTCTTACAAATCACCCTAAACACTCCTACAGACTACAATACAATGACACTGCCCCCCCCCCCCCCAAATCATGTCCCAAAAGTTATTTGCATATATGCAAAGTTCGGCTGAAGTTGCCGGACTTGACATTTTTAAGCCGCGCACACAAAGTCTTCATGCACAAGTAGGAAACTCTTGTGAGATGGACCTGGCTGCACTACTTTGTGCTTCACATGAGAGATGTTTACTACCTGTTACACCTCCATGCTTGTGATGTTCCATCCAGTCAGTGTAGTGGTGGTTTCACTCATTTGCATGTGTTTGGGTTGACATAGTACGTCTCTGTGTCGCCTGTTCCAGCTGGGGTTTTTTCCGTTGATGTGAAGGAGTTCCTGGTTACTGTTGTCCATCAGTGTTTTATTTAAAGGACCCCTCAGTTACCCTCGGTACACAAAGAGCACTCGTCTGCAAGCACGTCACTTCCTCCTGCTCCTAATATTGACATGTCAATATATGATAAACATGTTTGATTCCTCTTTTCGTGCAAGAAAGAAACAATATTTCATATATCACCCTCTAAATGAGAGTAGAGGATATTCCGTTTGATGTTTCTGTCTCCCATGGTCAGACTTCAAAGTTTTACTTTACTTTTTGTTGTACCTCCTTCCGCTCGACGCTGACCCCGCTGGTTTCCCCTCTTCTCGTGCGCAGGCTTGTACCAGTTCCTGCCCCCCGACAGCCGGGAGTTCGAGGACCTCGTGAAGATCGTCTCCTCGTTTTACCTCGACTCGTCGTCGCGAGGAACCTTCTCGTACTGCAAGGCCCGGCTCATCCACAACGAGCTGCTGGAGAAGGAGGTGGGCCGTCGCTGGATGTGTCCTGCTGCACATTGTCACCGTGGAATGTTTGATCCCTTTTTGTATTTGCAGGAAAGAGCACATGTGTGACAGCACGTGTTTAACCACATAACATGTGTGTGTATATGTAAGTACACGGTGGGATGTTTGTGAGTTTCATGCTGCTCATGTTTGTGGCAGTTCATCGAGAAGCGGAGAGAGATGAAGCAGGAGGGGCGGACGGAACAAGAGCTGACCGAGTCGTACTGCTTCCTTTATCCGGACAAATCCAAGGTACTGACCCGCCGCGAGGCTCCAACGATGTACTGCACCGAGTGTAAACTCACCTGAGGCAAAGTTGTGACACGTTTTTGTTCGTTCTCTTGTTGTGCGCAGCTCCAGTGGATCTGTGAGAAGGGTCTGTCGGTTGGACACTCCAGGATCACTACACTAGGAAATCCATCAGTGGGTAAGTTAGTCATGTTTTTATTTTTTAAACTGTGCTTATTGTCATTTTACAGAACTTACAAATCCCTACACACACTGTACACATATGCACATCTAATGTACCGACATTAAAACAAGGAATAACAACAATACTAATGTAAAACCTTGTCTTTTCGTGAACTCTATTAAGTTGCTTGTTAACTGTTTATTATCCTCAAAATGTCTCCCGTTGAGATCAATCGACACAGATTACGTATAAATATCTACACATACGTCGTCAGTTAGTCGTATTGCTGTGAAAGGAGACTGTTGTTCACGGATATTGTTTAAAGAGTCGGCGCCCTGATGGATGATTTGCATCCGAAGATGTTTGATTAGCATTTAGACCTGATTTAACGTGCCACAGCCATGGCTGGGAATGACTCTGATATATGCAGCAATATATCACTTCAATGTTGGGTCACAACTGACTACACACACAAGGAGTGACGGCTTTGTCTTGTTCTAAAATACATCAACCAGTAATCGACATAATTCTCAGGCTACGTTCAAAAGTGTTGCCGAAGCGCTCGTTGACGTAATTATGCTGTTAACTAAACTAACGTCAGTTTGCAGCTGCATGTCACCGGCTTCCAATGAAAACTTGACTTGAAGAATGTCACTTTTAACAGCGTAAATGTGAGACTTTCAATGCATCGTTGATGGAGGACGAGTGTGACGCTTTATCTTCTAATTCACTTCTTTTGTCATCGCAGGTGTTTACGTCTCCAAATATTCCGACCTGTTACAAATCAATCCCTTTGAAGTGGGCTCGTCCGGAGACATGATCGTTTTTAAAGTTATGAGGGTATGTAAGGCTGCCGTTCAGTTTGTGACGTTGACAGAGTTGTAACCCTCGTAAGGGGGGGGGGGGGAGATGTTCAGCTCACCCGTGTGTTTGTCCTCTCAGGGTCGAATAAAGCACATCCACGAGAACATGCCTAAGAACGCGATGGAACCTACTCCCAAGTTCGACTGTCACTTGTCCAAAAGTGCCAACAGGGTCACGTCTTTGCTGTCTTACCGGGCGTTTGAGCTCACGCAGGTAGTCATCACTCATCACGTGTAGCGTGTTGTTAAAGTAATGTGAGTTCTCTTATTTCTTGGGACAGTATTTGTATAATTGAATGTGTCTTTCTTATTGTTTTTTTTTTTTTAAAGCAATATTTCTTTGAGTTTGCGTTCGATGAGATCAAGGCCCGGCCGCGGCACGTGTGCCCCTACGCTGTGGTTTCCTTCAAGTACAAAGGCAAGGAGGCCGCTGCTACGCCCATGACGTCACACAGGTACGGTTCCATCAGCAGGTATCTGCAGACAGTCGGGAGGGTTGTTACCATGTTCTGTGTTGTTTTTAACAGGCTCTTCTCTCTCTCCGCTTCACAGGTTTCACACTATTTCCTCTGAAGGAGGTCGAGGTAAAAACTATTTTTGACTTTTAGATATTTGATAAATATTGAATGAGACAAATAACCTGGCTCCCCAAAATCTTAACGTGGCGCTTCAGTTAGAGATGAGCGCAGTTCTAAGTGCTGCACCCTCAAAATGATCCGATTCACCAAGAGGACGAAGTGCTGTTTTAGTTATGAGCTCTTTGTATCGTGTCTGACCTCTGACCTGTGCTGTGGATACCTGTTGTTTTAGGGAGGAGCTGCTACACGGTGTGGAGTGGTCCATTGGTGAACAAGGGCCACGAGTTATTCCCAATCTGTTTACGGTCCTCGTCGCGCCCTTACCTCCCCTTCAAACTGTGAGTAAACCTTCATAGTCCTGTTCACCCTGAACCTCCTCGGTGCTTCTAAAGACACTCACTTTGCAAAGAGGAAGCTAGAATCCACTCAATATACAGTCAATATATATATTTATCTCTCTGATAAATCTGCTTCCCTGAAGGCCTGAGAAGCTGGAGATGAGCAGAGGCATGCAGCTGGATCAGGTGAAGCGAAAGATTCCCTCTGTGCTCTTTTCTTGGGACACTTACAGCGCATCACGGGAAGGTCAGTCCTCACCCCACACGTGTTCACCTCATCATCAAATCATATTCAAGTCATCAATCTATTCTAAATGCAAGCACCCGCATCGTGTATTACAGGAACATGGACTTACTCCATCGATGTGATTGCAAACAAGGTGTTTCAGATAAAAAGCGAGCCGCTGCGTAGATGAGCTTCATTTCTTGCTTTTCTTCTGTCCGCAGTGATGAAATGTGGGATGTCCTGCAGCCTGTTCGAGGTGGTGGACGGAAAAGGCAAACCCACCAGCGGCAGCTTGGCAGCGCTGGTCCATAAACTGGAGAGGGACAGGATGGTGAGTCAACCTTCGGCCGCTAGCCACCGCGTTCCCGTGCGTGGAAACTAACCGAAAAGATCCGGAATGTGACTCTCAGCGTGTCGACAAAATATACTTCGAAATCTAAGAAACACACACAGAAGAATGGAGATTATAGTTTATAACACGATGTAATCGTTTGATCTTTTCTCCTTCTTAACAAGTAGATAATGTAGAGAACCATCTGTCACAGTGGTCATGCTGCTTATTTAAAAAGACATTTAAAAAGCTGAAGTACTCGTGTACACACAGGAAAACCTGTCCAGCAGTCAGACTGGTCTTATGATCGCTCACATTATCAGATAATGATGCACTGTGGGTCTTCTGACCCTGCTCTCCTCTCATTCAGGTGCTGGTGAAGTCCTTGTTTGACCGGGGCTTTCTGTTCCTGCTGTCCTCGGCGCAGATGGTTGAGTCCAAAGGTGCCGAAAAAGCTTTTACTCTCCTCTTAAAGCTCTCCGCTGTGCCGTTTGAACACCCACTTGTTGCCTTCAGCAAAGGGTTCAACTGTAAAAAAAAAGTTTCTGTTTGTTTTGCAGAGCGGCGGGGGCGCGTCGAGAAGAACCTGCAAGCGTTATTCATCTTTCAGGAGTCAAGGATGGTTGTCAAGTATTGTAAGTATTATTCACTCTAGCCATCCTTTTGTTATTGTGATTGGGCCTCCAGTGGAAGCATGAAGCTCCCAACCGGAATGTTTTATTAAGAAACAGAGAATGTTTGTTTGGATACAGCAAAGATGTTTCTCACGTCTACCTGCTGGTTTCTATGTTATAACTAACTCCTGGTGTAAAGATCCCGTCTCTAAAGACTTTATTAGTGCAGATAGACATCTTTAACGCGACACTAACGTGCGTCCTCCATCGCAGCATCCAGACTGTTCGAGCCAGAGCCGCTGTCGACGGAGCCCCAGCCCGCCATCCTGTCCTCCGTGGATCCCTTCGTCCCGGCTCTGCACTACGCGCTCTTCAAGTTGCGCGCCAACCCGGGCAAGGACCTGAGCTCGGGGGTGGAGCGCCAGGCCACCGACTACCTGACCCGCAAGGACTCGGGCACGGTGCGGCCGTTCATTCTGCCCGACTACAAATACAACGCGGACGACAGGACCAACCCGCTGCTGGTGCACAGACCCAAATGCAACATGGACGCCGTGCTGCGCTCTTACGTGCACAACCCCGGCAACTACATTTTACCTCTGAGCAAGACGAAGAACGTCATCAATAGAATAAGGAACCCCGTGCCCGTGCCCGTGCCCGTGCCCGTTCCCATACCTGCGCCAGCCCCAGTGGAATACAGCCCTGTGTCCGACTGGGGCGGCTCGGACAGGGGCTCGGACAGGGCGGAGAGACTCGCAGAGAGGCCGCCTCCGGACAGGCCGGCACAGGAGAAACCGCCGTCGGACAGCAGCAGCAGCAGCAGGCGGAGGCAAGGGTTGGCCCATTCTAACGGGGCCCAGGCGCAGCACAAGACCCCCGCGGAGCCCCAGCCTCAGCCCCCTCAGAGGCTGCGTCTGTCCCAGAACGAGTACGATAAAGACAAGATGAAGCAGCTGCTGAAGCTGATCCAGCTTCACAAGAAGGCGATCGTGAAGGAGCCGGGGAAGGAGCGGGGGGAGGACGGGGCGTGGGACGTCAGCAGCCTGAAGAGGAAGTTCGAGGGCGACGATCGGGGGGGCGCGAACAAGCACCAACGCACGGACCCGCTCAGCAACGGGGAACCCAGCAGAGGTGAGGAGGGCCGAGGCTTCAGTTGTGTGATTTAATTTGAGGGTTTTTTTTCCTCTGAAATAATGAATATTATATTAGTTTCACAGCCCTGTCTGATTAGCTCTCAGTAATTGCATTGCAAATTAAAATTAAAAAAAAAGAGCGTTGGCATTATTTTAACATGCAGCCAGTGTATTGCTTTGCAAATTGAATTACTTTACGCTTGTTTTCGTTGTTAAACGTTGAGGTTTCTGTTTATATTCCTCTCTGCTGGTGGAACAGCTGCTACAGCCATTCTAGAGTTAAGTGCACTAGAAATTAAGGTAGTTTAATTTCAACCGTAAATATTATTTTAACCCATAAAAGTTGGCAAATTTGCAATGATGCATAATCCTGCTTCACAAGGAAAACCGTAGTTATTAGAGTTCAGGATATTGAGGATATTTTAAATCGTCTCTAATTGGCTGTTTGTCTCCCGCTAGGAGCCCAAGCAGAAGAGATCGGAGATGAGGTCGGACACGGCGACAATCTGACAGCGGTGATGGAGAGCATGGGCATCTACGACACCGACCTGAGGGCTCACAGCAACGCCGGCGCCCCCGCGGTGAACGAGACCCAGCGCCTCCTCAAGATCCTCCTGGCTACCCTCAACAAAGCCGTGGCTCAGGGTTCCACGTCAGCGCAGTCGAACCACGGCGAACCGTCGACGGGCACGGGGAGCGGGGAACCCGCCTTCCTCGAGCCGGATCTCAAGAACCCGAATGAGCCCGCGTCTCACACCAACTACACAGAGGTGAGATGTGAACTGCTTCTAGGGTTGATCTGTTGGAGGATTGGAGTGATCAAATGTAATTAACGGGGGGGAAAATGCATTCAAGCAGACGTCGAGCTCTTGCTGTTGGATGAAAAGAGGGGGAAAAATGTATAGAGTCCATTTAATTAAAAACGCTAATATCAACCTTTTGTCATTTGCTATTATCCGTTCCCACCACATCTACCGGCGTTCCAGTGGCTCTTTGTCAAAGAGAAAAACATTAAAACAAAACTTCTCAAGAACACTGATCCACCATTTCTGTCGGATTGTAACTTAGGCAAAGAAGTCCAATGTCCAGTCAAGATCAAAAGCAAACAACGTTCCTCGTGCGCTCTCTCTCTCTTGCTCTGTTATTAAAATGTCCCTTTTATACTCGCTAGAAAACCACATGATGTACAGCGCCAGAGAGAAGTGCACACCAGGCTTACTAAAGAAAACCACCGACTGGTCTCGGTGTGATCGAGGCCTTAGACGTGTTTGTAGATCTAAAAATAATTGCTGTTTTTTTATTCCGTTTAGGAGGACATGGACTGTAGCCCTGGTAGTCCACTCAGCCCGGGCTCCCCAGCAGAGCAAGCTCACACCTCAGACACCACCACCTGGGTGAACCCGGCCAGTGAAGGTACCTCAAAGCAGTCTTTACACAGACCTCGCTCCCCTTGTGGGCATATTTAGATCTGCTTCACGAGGCTTCTTGTGTGACATGTTTCTTCTTCTTCTTCTTCTTTTTTTTCCCTTCCAGACCAAGCGCAGCCTTTTCCTGAGCTGGAGCCCAAGCCGGAGCCCGTGACGGTGACGGACAGCTACGCAGAGCCGAAGACGCCCGTCAACGCGGAAACAAAAAAGCCGGGCGCACCGCCGACGTTACCGGTCGTGGAGGAACTTCCCTTCCGGCCCTCCATCAGCCTGGACACCATACTGAACCAGGAGATTCACAGCCTCACGTCTGACATTAAGAACATCATGCAGACTCACCGCATCTGGTATTCTTCGCGGCTGTCCCCGCGGCTGCCCCCCCGCCACTGCTGGCTGCCCAACAGCTGCTTCTCGGACTTTGTGGTGCCCTTCGTGTCCCCCGTACCCGTTCAGGGCCACGTCAGAGCGCTGTGCGAGAAGATGGACAAGTTGATCCCGGCCCCGCCCACTCCCTCCCAGGTCACCTCCCCGCCGCCCCCGGTGACCACGTCTAATCTCACCACACCGCCCAATCTCACCACACCGCCCCCCACCCCGGTACAGACTGCCAAGCCTAAAGCAGACCCCTCCCTGTCAAAGGGCGCCGCCTCCTCTCACAGCGGTAAAATGGGCATCGTTAAAGGCACGGCGTCCACGAAGTCTAAAGCGGAAGGCTCGTCGGCGGAGCTGGAGGGAGAGATCTACTCTCCCTCTCACGTCACGCCAGAGTCTCCAGAGACCAAGGCCCAGAAAGCGGCTGCGGGCAGCGGGCCGGGCCTGCTGGCCGGCAGCCTCATCGGTCAGCTGAAGCCCGAGGTTTTCAGCAGCCTGGTGGAGATCTTTAAGGACGTCACCAAGAACACGGTCAAGTTCTACATCTACTGCGGGGACGAGGGGGAGGAGAGCACCGTCTGCAAGGAGATCAAGGTACGGCACACGGGTTTGGAGCAGTCACTGTCGGTCACGTTATTCATTCCTCTGTGAGATGGTTCACTCAATAAATGGGTCAAAATAGTGAAAAATGTCCCTCACAAGCTCCCAGAGTCCTCCATGACATCTTCCACTTGATCCATTCACAACGCAAAGATTTCAGATCTAAAAATAAACTCCTCACATTTCAGAAGCTGAACAGCTGATTCATCTGATGAGCTACCTCCACTTTAACTGGATTATCAACATCTTTGTCTAATCGCACTTCTTTGACTAAAACCAAAACGACCGATTAGTCGAGTAACTGACTAAGACGGGGCAGCCCTCATTCTTTACATATTTTCACATCCATTTTCTTTCATATTCTTTATCTGTAGATTTAATTTAGATCTCTTTTTTTATCAGCCTCTGCAGCTCTGCAGTAGTAATCTGCGCACACACACACACACAGGAGAGAAGCGTTTCACAGGAATGTGAAACGCCACACCGGCTCCTCCTTTGTCACTATGTGTTCCTCGTCTCGGCACTCGGCTCTCTCTGCAGCTGTCAGTCAAGCCGCTGTTTGTAAGTGTAAGCGAGGAGGACGCGTTCCTCCGTCTCGTCTCTGAACGACTCCGTCTCCCTCTTGTCTGTCACAAAGGAGTACTTGAAGAGTCTTGGCAACAGCGAGTGCAGCCCACAGACGTTTCTGGAAAACAGCGGCAGTTTAGATAAGCTCCTCATCATCATCCCGAACGAGGACATCGCTGCACATGTGCACAAGGTACGACCCCGCCTCCCGCCACCGGCCGATTGAACATCTGCTGCAGAGTGTTGTGTTTAGTTATTTGAGTTGTCGGGGTTATCCGCATACTGTATCGAGGTATTTTTCTTCTGGCCCTGCAGATCCCGGCTCTGGTGTCTCTGAAGAAGTTGCCCTCGGTGAGCTTCGCCGGAGTGGACACTCTGGACGACGTCAAGAACCACACCTACAATGAGCTCTTTGTGTCCGGGGGCTTCATGGTGTCTGACGAGTTTGTCCTCAACCCCGACCTCATCACACAGGGTACGGTTTGGCCGTTCTTTGAGGGGAGCTGTGCGAATTCATGGATCGGTTGGACAATACTTCAGAGCTTTTATTATGCATTTCTTTGAGCAGATCGTTTGCAGGGGCTGCTGAAGTTCCTGGAGGAGCAGAGCACCCCCGAGCACCCCTGGCAGTGGAAGGTGCACTGCAAGTCCCAGAAGAAGCTGAAAGAACTGGGGAGGTCAGTATCTTGAGTAGGAGCTTTCCCCAAAATAGTGGTAACCAAATCCTAATTATCTTTAGCCAGACTTTGAGCCGTGAATCAATACCGTGACACTCTATGAATCTGCTCCTTCTCTTAAAGGTTGAACACTAACGCCATGGGGCTGCTGAACCTCCTCACTTCCTATCAGAAGAAGCACCTGGTGGAGTTCCTTCCGTATCACGAGTGCGACACCCAGTCGCGTCAGGCTCCGGACCTGGACTGCCTGATCAAGCTCCAAGCTCAGCACACGCAGCAGCGGCACCTTATCTTCCTCACAGGTATCGTCGTTCACGTCCCTATCGGCTCGGCGGCCCCGCGTCCACATATAGAGCCGCTTTCTGGCAGAAAAAGCAGCCGCAGGGTCGCTGGGTATCTTGTCAACCAACACTCTAACCACTGTTGTGTGGTGGACTAGCACTGCTCCTTTGCCTCGTGTTATCCATTTGAGCTACTTTTAGTTTTATTTGATGATGTTGTTTTTAGCCTTGAGCACCAAACGGAGGATGTGTGCTTCATGCTCTGTGTAGATGACGGCCGTAAAGCTTTGTTTGTACTCGCGCTTGGTGCCGGGGCTCGAGCCTCTGCGGACGAGCGTTAACGGAGGCCAGAGGGCGAACAAACAAAATGAACTGTGAGGAATCAAAAGGACGAGTGTAACTCGTATCTCATATTCATGGCCTACTTTATCGCCTTTGTACAAGATCTGTAAAGAAACAAGTCGAGTATTAAAAGCATTAAATAACATGTAGATAGTGCTTTTATCAGTGAACTATTCGTAACAGTCGGGTGATCGCATGCGGCATTACGTCATTTTCTAGCGCTCGAGCCGGCTTCACTGCAGCGAGTATAAACTAAGCTTCACGTAACAGCGAGACGAGGCGTGCTGTCATAATAACTCTGTTTATAAAGTGTTGGTGTGAGACGTGTCGTCCTTTTTATACCTTTAAAATGAAATCCATTATTGGAGTGACAGCTGTCTTTTGGCTTATTTGTGATGTGATGTGTGTTTTATACAGAGCGGCCGTTTGAGATGTTCCTCCAGTACTCCAGAAACGGGATCGTGATCGGGAGCATCGACGACGTCATGAGCGGTTTCCACAGTCTGATCGGCTCCATCAATCAAAATGAGCTTCCAACACCACCCTCTACAGGTGGGTAGCGTCAACAGCACGACTAACCGCCAAAAATATTGAGGATTTCATGTCATGCAGTGTAACTTTTGTTATGTACAGTGTTCTTGACAGTTAAATATGTCCATTAAGTTATTTAATACACTGTTGATGCTGTTAATGCATCTGTAACACATTCGTTTGATCATTTCTTCCTTTCGTTTCTCTCTTTCTGCCTCTTTCCTGCTCTGCTAGTAGTGAATGACGAGTGTGTGGAAGAGGAGGACATGTCGTTAGACTCTGAGGATGATGATGATGAGGATGATGATAATAATGATGGAGGTGAGCCGACCACCGTGTCGGATCCCCCAGAGCGGAGCCAGGCCGTGGAGAAGGGGAAGCCTCCGCTTCCGCCCCCCCCAGAGACGGAGGAGTTTCGGCCTCCGCTCCCGGAGCAGCAGGCCACCCCCGACAGAACTCCCACGCTGTCCGAGTACAGCGCTCTCAAAACGGCCATCTCTCAGTTCAAGGCCACCAACCAGATGGGGATGGGCTCTTCGGACATCGGAGGCTTGTCCCCGGGAGGTTTCCCCGTGAACCCCCACCAGAGCTTCCTGTGCCCCTCGGCATCGTGGTCGTCCTACACCGGCTCCTCCAGCTACGCGGCCTCCCCGGCCTACCCCGCGTCACCCTGCAGCAGCACCCAGGAACAGGACTACCGCCCCCCGGTCCCAGCGGCCCCATCCCCTGCCTCGATCCCGCCCCCGGCCGTCATTGCCGCGGCGGGACCTCTAGCCAACCTGGCGTCCCTCCCCTTGGAGGTCAGACCTCCCCCTCCGCCTCACCTCATGATGCTGGGCCACATGTACGGCTCGGACGCCGGAGGAGCCGGGGCTGCTGGGAACTCCCCGCTCACCACCTCCCTCCCTTACACAGACCACAGTGACTCAGCCCAGCCAGCGTACATGGCTGGCATTCATCAAAATGCTGGCGGGACCCCCTCGCAACGCGACAGGACACTCACCCGGCCTGGGGACGGTCTATGGGGGACCAGCTCCTGTCGGACTGCTAGCGGACCTCTGGACCCCAGCGGGCTTCATCAGACTGGGGAAACCCTCGGAGGCAGCGCCCCTGGTAGTCAGGGGGGCAGGACTCAGGTGAATTGCATTAACAACCTTGGAGCTTCTGTGGGTATTCCCACAGTGGCCACCAGGGGGGGCTCTATAGTCAGGCCTAAGATGCCTCCACATCCAATGTGTGGCATCGGCTACGGCAGTATAGGTGGCATCCCTGGACAGTTGGACCATGGGCCTATGCGGGGGGGTATGGGTCTTGGTTCTTTAGGGAGCTATCGAGGTAGAGGACCTCCACCAGTAGCCCTTTGGCCTCGGCCAGGACGAGGACACGATCGGGGGGGCGGGTCGGGAGGTGGACCCTGCTTTTGGGGTTACCCGGCAGGCAGGGGCGGGGCACAGGATCACTACTCGGACTACACATACACTCACAATTACGCTCCCGAATAGACAATCAAAACATGACCGAAGGGCAACACAAACGGCAAAATCCAGAGACTATTAAAGCTGGCTGACTGTAAATATTTCCTTGTCATAAATGCTTTGATTTCAATCGGAAAAAAAGGAATCCTGGTTTTCTACATTTCTGAAATAATTGATACAGGCAGTGCCGAGTGTCCTACCGTGGTGTGAACTGTACGTACACTTTTTCCCTGTTCAAAACCACCATATTTATATTTGCCAACAAATGGTAACGGCCTTCCAGCTTCTCGGAATCGATCATGTTATTTCTGTTTGTCCAGGTTTTGAACGGTTTGTGAACCAGGGGGAAAGGCTGATATTTTTTTAAGGAAAACAAAAAAATAATAATCAAGTGAATTCAATTTCACTTTTGCTGTTGGTTTTCTTTTTTTTTTTCTTTTACATATTTGGTTGTCCTAAATTCTATTAAAAAAAACATTTCAAATCTTATTTGTGTGACCAGTTTGATGACGGTGTCGAGCAAACTATTAAAAATATAAATCACAGCTGTCTCACTGTCCTTTCACTCCAAACTCTCCTTTTATTCATCAGCCTACATTTTATATGTGCAGAGTGAAGGTGGATGAGTTGACCTTTAACAATAAAGTGTGTGTCATAAAAAGTAGAACGCTGAGACTTAAATCTGCTAACATGGCTCCGGTTCCTCAGAGAGAAGGTGTGTTGCTGTTCATAAAACGTATTAAAGACCTTTTAAATACTGTGGACAGAATCATGTGTGACCGCGACGAGGAGCCGGGCACTGCGGTGGAAATCGGTTAAATCCGTTTCCTCCGGCAGGGTGCGCTGCATGTGGAGAGCAGTGTGGAGGGAAATGCAGCTCTTAAAAGCCCCTTGAGGCTCCATGCTGAGTGCCATCGGCCCCTTAACTCAAACCACCACTGAAGGGATCGTGATGAGGGCCCTCTCTGTTGGCTTTACTGTAGTGCTTTTATAACCCAGCGGAGGAGCTGGCACAATAAGCACACCAGGGGGCGCCATTTCCTCTTAATGTGGAAAATAGTTTAGCACTTTATCTCCAGAGCCTCCTGTGCCGGTGGTGCATTAGATGCGCCACTGGAAACTAAGACCCCCCTCCATTAAACCAGTTGCCTTTTAAACATATCACACAAACACGAAGCAAGCTACTTTATGTTGTATTTGGCTGCTTCCTACTAAACAGATTAATTTACACCTGCAATACTTCACCTCAAACACAGCATTGAGCTGCGTTGTTGGGGGGGTTGTGTTCAATGTCCACGGGATCCGCAGGTGTTGATGATGGAGGGAAAGCACACTGATCATGTGAATCAATAAACTGCACGTATCTGGTGGATGTACACGGAAATATTAACAATACAATGAAACATAATAAACTGAATATACAATAGAGATATTCCGACGAAAGTGAAACCTATAATAAATAAATGCAAGTCATTTTCACAAATATTGTTTTTGGTACTGTGTACATTTTGTAAAGAATGTAATCAAATGATACATAGCATGAATATACAATTAACACCTGTAGGAACGGATTTTCTTTCACTGGCCCTGAACACAACACTCACATGTCACCTGTTGATGGTTAATTGGCATAGATCAGCTGTTAGCACAAAGCTAACTGTTTTCACATTCAGCAGACACGGAGCAACGGTTATTGGGAGCCATGTTTCCGGCTACCTGGTGCATGTAAGTCCAGTATTGTACTCGTGCTATGCAGGCAGCATACCGCGGGTTTATCACAACGTTTATCGTACACTGCAGTTCAGAGGCAGGTTGTGTTTGTACTCCACTGCATGTCTCTTACAGCTGTTACTAGTTAGATTGCATGTTAAGGTTTTACATTAAGGAGGAGACACAACATGTGGAGAGGGTAACAAATATATATATAATTCACCATGAAACTTCCCCAATTGAATTATTGCATTAAGACAATCATTTTATGTGTTGTGTGTGTATGTTAAAATATGCAAATGAGGCAATCTCACTGCAATTATGTGCTAATTTGTATACATTTATAGAGGATAAATCTAAACATTGGATAAAGCCTGATTCAATTGTTTGATTTTGTTGACATATAGGGAATTATGGATATCTCCATAAATCAGAAAAAAACGTTCAACAGCGATTTAAAAGAAAAAACAAATCAATTTTCTCCATGTTTTATTAATATAATGTAGTATAAATGAGTCTCTGGATGATAAGTGAACAAACCCCTCTGTGTGAACCTTCAGCACACAGAGAGGAATGAATGAGTGAAGTTTGGTGAATGTAAGAGCTGCTGAAGTGGAGATTTATCATCAGAGTCTGAGAACAAACTCATTTAGAGGAAACGTCCTTTAAAGAGACGTTTAGTTCCATTACATTTAGAGACTCTACAGGTGAACACATGAACTCATAGATATCACCATCAAACTTCACCACTGCATTACTTAGATTAAGTCAAAAACATTTTGTATTACAAGTTTTCTGAAATGTTATGTTTAAATATGCAAATTAGGCATTATGTAATAATAGCTTTTGGGGAATTTAGTAGAAATCTACAGACAAAGTAGTAAAATAAACACTTAAATGTGTATTTTGGATGTTTTCTCTCCACTAGTCTGAAAGAAGACGTGTTATGGAAGTTAAGCCCAAACTCTCAAAATTGTCCAGTGCATGAAAAGCGATGTACTTTGCCCGAAGTGTGTCGCCTTAGACAACATGATGAGCTTATACAATGTACTACGTCGGCTGGCTTTGGGCTTGCGACCCCTCACGAAACAGCAGTGCTGACCCCCATCATGTTGCAGAGGTGTGTGTGTGTGTGTTATGAGCTCTTCCTCCAAAGGGACATTACCCCTCTCCACTGCTAACATGGTTCCATTTAAATAGATGCTCAAGGCACAAAGAGGTAGAAGTGTCCAATAATTCACATGAACTGCAAAGAAAGCTTCTGGGAGAAGTCCTGAAAGTTAAAATGAACTCGTGTAGCAGGATTGTGTGTTTTTTTTCTTTTAACTACCCCGTTCATCATCTCGTGACAGATTTATCCGGTGACCCTCGATGGGACCCCTACCCTTAGGTTTGGAACCACTGGACTACTTCACTGAATAAGAAGTTGTTCATATTAGACGCACAACTGCAAACACCTCAGTTTATAAACAGCATTTTAGCTGCTGATGAATAGATGCGTCTGTATTATTAATCTGATAAAGTCATGAATGACAACGGATCAGTCGTGGATACAGAACCAGAACTCAAAGTACATTTTACTGATATTACTTCTGTACTTTTACTAAGTTAGGATTTTGAATGAAGGAAAAGAATGTAATTACTTAGCTTTTCACAAACAAATAGTCATTTGATTCCAGTTTTAAAATACAAACAAACATCATAACACAGACACCATCACACACTTGTAGTGGGTAATGATGATTGAGAGGGATTGTTTTAGTATGAGTATATACAGCGTTGTTATAGGAAAATGCTGCGTATTATAAAATAGAGGAAATGTGATGTAAGAAAGAACAGAGTCACACTATATTTCATTTAATTTAACCTTTATTTATGCATGGACAATTATGTAATAACCTTATAAAATATAGTTTGTTTGTGACTAAAAAAGGACGCTCTCTACAAAAAGACGTGTCCCATCGTGCAACAAAAATACTCGTTTTGTACAAAAATGTACGGAAAAGAGAATGATGTATGTTTCAGTTTTAAGCATATTTTGTTAATTATCTGGATAATATTGTTAATCACAATTATTTTTATAAAGCAGCTATGCTTTGAACTAAGCATGCTAACATGCTGATGTTAAGAAGATGTTATTACGTCTTAGCTTAGCGAGTTGGCATGGAAACACTTTGTGACAGGAATGTCTTTAGTTCAGCAGGTATTTGGTCCTAATATTTGGTCCCATACTGACCTGATGGTGGCGCTAGAGGAAAAGTTAATTAAGGGATCAACTAAGTTCTAATTTACTGAATATCATGGCAACAGGTGTTACCCTGACACACATGTACACCTCATAGTGGGTGCTCGAGGACAAAGTCATGAGTCGACATCGTCCGGGAACGATGAAGGCCTTTACCAAAGTTTGTGCCGATCCCTCCAGCAGTCATCAAGACATTTTAATAAAAGCCATAAATGTTAACCTTTAGCTTCCGTACTGTGTAATATTTGAGCGGTGTACAGTTATAAGAGGGATTTAAATCAAGTCCTTTGCATTTGGTTGGAGCACTAAAAAGAGGGCGGGGCTCCAAACACGCCTCCCTTGTACCTAAAAATTGCAGATTAATTGATGGATGGAGTCCTTATATTATTGGTTATAAATGGTTTGTTTCTCACGTAAGAACACGTCATGTTGACATAAAAATGAGAAAAAAAATAGATTTTTGCATATATTGTTAAATACGTGCACAACATGAATGGGGATGTGATCTAAAAGTTAAAAAAAAAAAAGTTTCACTCAAAGTGGTGGACCAAGTGGAAAAACCCAGATCAGCAGAAATGACATTGAGTATCACTGACACTAAGACGTTGCAGATAAGACCCCTCTGACAGTACGTCTTTTTATTAATGGAAACAATAAAGCCATATTTCATCAGAGTTCACTGTTGTCTTTTAGTGGACAAGTGTGACGGATAATAACAAAGGAGCCACCGTTACCACACGATACAATAAAGCTGGTGGGGGAACTGGCCCGAGCTGAGCACAGAGGTAGAATAAAAGGACGAGAGGATGTTGAAGAAAAGCGGTCATGAGCAACAACATAAAAGTTACGATACTTTGAGTAATTGTGCTTGTCAGATCTCATAATATCCAGCTAAACTCTGTGCACCGAAGCACATAACGGCCCCACAAAGATGCTTCCATCATGCTGCACGGCTTAGATAAGGATGTATCCCTGCATACTGTCATGGATCTATACATTTGATTATTCATGTGCAATGTGCCCCACAGCGATCGGACCGACACCAGACCCCTGTTGGACACGTCGGCACATCCGGCTGCTTCATCCTGCTTTCATCCCGTGCGTTCGCATCCAAGTGCAGAGGTATGATAAACAGCCCGTTGTCTGGTGTGCAGCGGCCCATTTATTTAAGTCCTTTTTTTTTGGGAAGCGACCAGCTCACCTCCTGTGTGTGTGTGTGTGTGTGTGTGTGTGTGTGTGTGTGTGTGTGTGT